GGAATGCAAGGGCATGATCTTGGCTCACTGCAACCTCCACATCCCGCGTTCAAGCGATTCTCTCGCCTCAGCCTCCCAAGTAGCTGGGATTACAAGCACCCGCCACCATGCCCAGCTAATTTTTGTATTTTTGTAGAGACGGGGTTTCACCATGTTGGCCAGGCTGGTCTCGAACTCCTGACCTTAGGTGATCCGCCCACCTCGGCCTCCCAAAGTGCTGGGATTACAGACGTGAGCCACCGCACCTAGCCGTATGTTAAATAAGTATCTTAAACTTACCATGTTCTTCTAGACCTTGACCTTCTGGTTTTTACCACCACTATTTCTGTCTTTTAACAAAACAAACTAAGATTAAGCAAACAAAAACCACTCATTCTTTTGCAAAATCTTCCTCATCTTAGTAACTGTCAACTACATTCTCGTAGTTACTCAGGTGGAAACCTTGGTGTCTCCTTGACTCCTTTTCTTCTCACAATCCACATCCAATCCATTAGCAAATAGGTTAACTCAACCTCCAAAATATACCTGGAATCTCACCATTTCTTGTTATTTCCACTATGACTGCCCCCGTGGAAACCAGCCTCTCCCTTGCCTGGGTGACTTTAATAGCCGCCTGCTGGGTCTTGCTTCCACTGCTGTCTCTACCGTTCTTGTTCACATAGTAGCCACGGGGAGCCTGTTAAAACACACCCATCATGTTACAACTGCACATAGTATTCACCAGTGGCTTCCCGACTTAACTTACTGTAACTGCCAAAGTCATGATGGTGGCCTACAAAGTCCTGCTTAATCTGGGTCCCCAGTCTCTCTGATTTCTTTTATCTCCTGCACTCTTCTCCTTGCTTACTATGTTCCAATCAAATCCTCTTTGCTGTTCCTTGTACATAACAAGCACAGTCCTACCTCAAGACCTTTGCATTTCCCTTGACCTAGAGTGTTCTTCCTACAGATATGTGTGACCTACTCCCTTCTTTTCTTTTTTGCTGGGAGACCAGAGTTTTATTACTATTTAAATCAGTCTCCCCTAGCTTTCAGGGAGCAGAGTTTCTAAGGAAACTTGGTGGGTAGGGGGAAGCCAGTGAGCCAGGAGTGCTGATTGGTTAGAGATGAAATCGTAGGGAGTCAGGAGCTGTCTTCTTGTGCTCAGTCAGTTCCTGGGTGGGGGTCACAAGATCAGATGAGCCAGTTTATTGATCTGGGTGGGGCCAGCTGATCCATCAAGTGCAGGGTCTGCAAAATATCTCAAGCACTGATCTTAGGAGCAGTTGAGGGAGGGTCAGAATCTTGTAGCCTCCAGCTGCATGACTCCTAAACCATAATTTCTAATCTTGTGGCTAATGTTAGTCCTACAAAGACAATCTAGTCCCCAGGCAAGAAGGGAGTCTATTTTGGGAAAGGGATGTTACTATCTTTGTTTAAACTATAAGTTTCTCGCAAAGTTAGTTCAGCCTGCGCCCAGGAACAAACAAGCACAGCTTGGAGATTAGAAGTAAGATGGAGTCAGTTAAGTTAGATCTCTTTCACTGTCTCAGTCATAATTTTGCAAAGATGGTTTCAGTCCCTCCCTTGGGGTTTTAAAACACCTTAATCTTAAGGTGTAGGCTCTGAAGATGGGAAAAGGCCTTCGATCACTCTGGCTTCTTCCTGCTGATAGGGGACGTAGTGGGAATGGGAGTGAACCCTAAACTGAGAAGAGCAGAACCACTTTGTAACTGTCTAGGTGTACTCATGCAGGCCTGGCTGGGATTCCAGGGCTTGTGTGGGAAAAACATTACTACTCTCATCTATAGTTTTACTGCAGTGTTTAAGTGAACAGCCTACTATAAGGTAAATAATGAGTCCTAGGATGAGGAGCACAGTTACCAATTTTAAAAGCAAAGATTTGAAAGCATTAGTCTGGGGACTTCTTTTTTTTTTTTTTTTTTTGAGACGGAGTCTTGCTGTGTCACCCAGGCTGGAGTGCAATGGCCAGATCTCGGCTCACTGCAAGCTCCGCCTCCCGGGTTCACGCCATTCTCCTGCCTCAGCCTCCCGAGTAGCTGGGACTACAGGCACCCGCCACCTCGCCCGGCTAGTTTTTTTTTTGTATTTTTTATTAGAGACGGGGTTTCACCGTGTTAGCCAGGATGGTCTCGATCTCCTGACCTCGTGATCTGCCCGTCTCGGCCTCCCAAAGTGCTGGGATTACAGGCTTGAGCCACCGCGCCCGGCCTAGTCTGGGGACTTCTAAACCACAAAGAATTTAGAATTTCATCTAAACTGCAGGAAAAAACCTCTAGAACAGCTAACAACAGTATACTGTAGTTTTTCTTTTGAAGCATAATTTTTCTCTCTCTAGTCCCCATTTTTATTAAAAACAAATCATGATAGAACTAATTTGTTTAAAAAATAAACTTTAGTCTTACTGTACTTGGCCTGATTATTTGCATAAAGTGCAGCAAGAATAATTGTTTTTCACTTAGGGTTTTAAATTGGCTTTGTCAGAACTCTGTTCCATGAAGAATCTCAGATAAGACTTTCAAAAAGTCGAGTCCAGCCATGGGTTTGTACCCTCAATTACTTATGAGTTGGGCAAATTCCTCTTGAGGTCCCAAGATAACTTGGAGTTCCTGGCTTGTCAGAAAGTGACATTCTTAGCCAGGCGTGGTGGCTCATGCCTGTAAACCCAGAACTTTGGGAGGCTGAGGTGGGTGGATCACCTGAGGTCAGGAATTCGAGACCAGCCTGGCCAACATGGTGAAACTCCATCTCTACTAAAAATACAAAATTAGCCAGGTGTGGTGGCAGATGCCTATAATCCCAGCTACTTGGGAGGCCAAGGCAGAAGAATCACTTGAACCCGGGAGGTGAAGGTTGCAGTCAACCAAGATCACACCACTGTACTCCAGCCTGGACAACACAGCGAGACTCCATTTCAAAAAAAAAAAGGTGACATTCTTTATTTACCACAGGTCAGGAACCTTGTATATACTCCCTTATTTTCTTCACGACCATGCTAAATAAAGTTCACTTCATCACAAAAGCCTTACCCAACCGGTCTGACATATCTGGCGTGTAGTGGGTGCTCAGCAGGTGTTTGCCAGATGAATGAAGCATGGCTGGCTGGAGCAGCACATGGTAACCCTTCTGCTTCTGTCCCCATCTGGACATGCTGGGCCCTATGTGGCTATGGAGCCTGCTCCTTGGAGTGCTTAGAATTTATTGACTGAAGTAGCCATTTGATAATGGCTATAGCAGCAAAGCCCAGAATAACAAAAGAACCAACAAAACTGGAATTGGAACCAAGGCATATCGATTCTCTTTCCTATCTTGGATAACAGAGTGACATCTAGCCTGCTTTGAGTTTTACTGCTGCCAGATTACTGTAACCCAGCCAGGCGTGGTGGCTCACGCCTGTAATCCCAACACTTTGGGAGGCTGAGGCGGGCAGATCATCTGAGGTTAGGAGTTCGAGACCAGCCTGACCAACATGGTGAAACCCCATCTCTCCTAAAAAAACAAAATTAGCCGGGCGTGGTGGCTCACGCCTGTAATCCCAACACTTTGGGAGGCCGAGGTGGGCAGATCACCTGAGGTCAGGAGTTCGAGACCAGCCGGACCAACATGATGAAACCCCGTCTCTCTTAAAAATACAAAATTAGCCGGGCATGGTGGCGCATGCCTGTAATCCCAGCTGCTCAGGAGGCTGAGGTGGAAGAATCACTTGAAACCGGGAGGCAGAGGTTGCTGTGAGCTGAGATCGCACCATTGCACTCCTTCCTGGGCGACAAGAGCGAAACTCTGTCTCCTAAAAAAAAAATTACTGTAACTGGTGAAGCATTGGCGGGTAATACAGTTAAGATAAAAGAAAGCTAAATCCAGAGAATTAGCTTTTATCTCAGGCTTCTTTGATCCTTGAAACTTACTTAATTTTTAGACTACAGTTGCTGTTTATTTCTTCCTAAGTGATCCCTATAAATAGGGAAGAGCAACAGCCTCTAGTATGTCTTGAAAGTCCTTCTATATTGGGTTCAGTCTAAGAATTGTTGCAAATCAGGTGTCCAAGGCAGAGTCTTAAGTTGTTAATAAAAGGTCTTGGGGCCAGGTGCAGATGCAAACACCTGTAATCCCAGCACTGTGGGAGGCCAAGTTGAGAGGATCACTGAGGTCAGGAGTGCAGGACCAGCCTGGGCAATGCAGTAAGGACCTCGTCTGTACAAGAAATTTAAAAATTAACCAGGTGTGGTGGCACGTGCCTGTAGTTCTAGCTACTCGGGAGCTGAAGATCACTTAAGCCCAGGAGCTTGAGGCTACAGTGAGCAGTGATCATGCCACTATGCTCCAGCCTGGATGATAGAATAAGACCCCATCTCAGTCAATCATTCAATAAAAAAAAAAAAAAAATCTCTTGGGAGACTGGTTGAATTTCCTGTTCATTCCTTTCTTCTTCCTTGCGAAGACCAGTTTCTGGATTCCCTCTTTCCTGGGAGAGCCTTGGTCATTGTTATTCATTGAGTAGCTTCTCCAAGCATTCATTGTTTTTACATACCTTGTAATAGGACTTGATTGTAGTTGTTTTATCTCAGAATCTCATTTCCTTAAGGGAATGTGTGATATTTGACAGGATGCGTAATTGTTGTTCATGCAGGTGTTTTAAGAAAAAACTTGGGCTAATAGAAGAGTTAATAGCATTTGTTTGCATTTTTCTTTAAAGGTGGGCTTAATCGAGGGCAGTTGGGCCTGCAACCTTTTCCAGTAGGTTGGAGAATCACCTACATTAGTAGAGCCTCACGTATTAGTAACCCTGGTATCTGCCTGGGCATCTTTAGTGGGTGGGAGTAGAGGATGGGATTGGTCCCTTTACCCTATTCTGACCTGAAGTGCTCTTCATCAAAGCTGAGTATGGCAGTAAGCATAAAGACTGATTACATTACAAGCAGGGCTCTGAGCCAGAAGGTGGGGCCTTTGTATCCTGTTTGGAGTAGGCTTCCATGGTAACTGCGTCTAACGCTTTCTCACAGCCGCTCCTGACATCACTGGCCATAAACGGAGTGAGAACAAGAATGAAGGGCAGGATGCCACGATGTATTGCAAGTCAGTTGGCTACCCCCACCCAGACTGGATATGGCGCAAAAAGGAGAACGGGATGCCCATGGTGAGTAGGAGGCAGGCCCGGGGTCTCTGGTTGCTGGAGTTTTCCCTGCAGAGGTCCAGACATGTGGGTCAGTTACTTTACTAGTTGTATCCTCAGATGTGTGCATGGCGAGGGTCATCCTTTCTAGAGTCATGAACGGTTTACAGCATGAATTAGGAGGTCAATGATAGTCTCTTCCGGCACAAAAATCCCTGTACATGATTTGTTAAAGCTGTCCATCTGGTAAGAGATTAGATTGCTCGCTGTATTAGTCCATTCTCACATTGCTATAAATAACTTCCAGAGACTGGGTAATTTATAAAGAAAAAAGGTTTAATTGGCTCACAATTCCACTGGCTTTACAGGAAGCATTGCCGGGGAGGCCTCAGGAAACACAGGAAAGATGATCTTTCCTATCTTAGACAACAGAGTGACATCTGGCCTGCTTTCAGTTTTATTGCTTTCAGATTACTGTAACTAAAGGTGAGGCACTGACAGATAATATAGTTAAGATAAAAGAAAGCTAAATCCAAAGAATTAGCCTCCCCCTCAGGCTTCTTTGATCCTTGAAACTTTACCTATTTTTTAGACTACAGTTGCTGTTTATTTCTTCCTAAATGATCCCTATAAGTAGAGAAACTTAGAATCATGGTGAAAGGTGGAGGGGAAGCAAGCAGGTCCTGCGTGACTGGAAAGGAGGAAGAGAGCGAAGGAGGGAGGTGCTATACACTTTTAAACAACCAGGTCTCATAGGGTCTCGTGAGAATTTACTGTCACAGGAACTTGAGCAAGGGGGCTATCCGCCCCCATGAACCTGTCACCTCCCACAAGGCCCCTCCTCCAACACTGGGGATTATAATTCAACATGAAATTTGGGTGGAGACAAAATCCAATCCATATCACTTGCCTTCAGGATAGGACACTGAAAGAACTGAGCCTAATTCTCATCTATTTATCCTGAAGAAAATACTGTTCTTGAAGTGGTCTTAGAGTACCTGCCTTGTTTTTTGGGAAACAAAGTACTGAGGGCAATTACTAGTACATTCCTGCAACACAGAACATACCGATAAGGAATCGGGGCAACCTGAGGAGGTCCAAGGGCAGCCTTGGCAGCCTTAGACGTTGGGAACCTGATGGTATTTGCCCCAGAAAAGATCAAAGAGAACATCTTTTTCGATCAGTGGGATGATTCATGATGGTGTTTGGAGAGTCAGAGCTTTAGACCCTCAACTTTCTCATTATGATTGTTGACCCGTTACCTTTTCTCTCAGAGAAGGTGTCAGCATTCCTCCTATCCTGGGGATCCTTTTTGATTATGTCTTCAGAATCCAAAAGGACCCTAAAGATCATTAATCCAGCTTCTTTGGAAGGGTTCCATAATAGCCAAGATAAATTAGTGGCAAAACCAAGAATTCTATCTAGTTTTTTTTTAAATTTCAAGTCCATTATTCTTCCCACTTCATGACATCTCGATAATAAAATGTTGAGTTGTAATAATGACTCCAACATCAGCGATGATTTCAGAGACCCGTTAATAAGGGGGAGCAGGGTGAGGACTGGAGAGGTGAAGATGCTGAGTTGAGTCTTTTTTACAAGACACTGAACTTTCTAAGGCACTGGCGAGGAAATGGCCACTTCTCTCTGCTGGTCACTGGGAAGGAGTGCCCTTGAGCTTTTGCCAAAGCAGGTTGGAATTAACTCAGTATGTGTTTTAATCTGAAAGATAAAGCTTGAGGCATCACAGACTAGCTGTTTTAAAAGCTACGAGTTCCCCATTTCAGATGTAGCTGCACTCAAATGCTGACAAGATTGTATGCTGTACCTAGAATCATTTCCAGGATAATATTCCCCTTTTTCTCTCCTATTTCTGATTGTGCTTTAGTTGTTGCAGGGTAAAGACACATGAGTCTGTTTTTTCCCTGCCGGGATCTCATGAGCTGAGTGCAGTGAGCCATCCTGCTGAGTCTTGGCCTCTGCCTGTGCACTCTTGCACCTCTGCCTTCGCACCCATGTGAATCCCTGCCTGCACTGTGCCTCCCTATTTGATCAGCTGTCCTCCTCCACAGTCTACTGCAAATGTTAGCTCATCTGTGAAGCTTTCCCTGCCTCTTTCCAACAGTGGCCGCTCACTGTGCCCTACAGCACTCTATACACACTCTGCTGGGGCTTCTTAACACATTCCTGTAATCAGTCATCCCTCTTTGGATGTCTGGTTCCCTTTTGAGGCCAAGCTCCTTATTCATTTTTATTTTTAGGTTTGTCTTCTCCCTATCTCACCTTCTCCCTCCCACCTACCCTTAGTAGGATGTAAAGCATGCAACATATTTTAGTAAATATTTATTCTATTTTATTTGTTTGTTTTGTTTTGTGTTAAGACAGGGTCTTGATCTGTCTACCAGGCTGGAGTGCAGCAACCTCCTAGGCTCAAGTAATCCTCCTGCCTCAGCCTTCTGTGTAGCTGGGACCACAGGTGTACACTACTATGCTCAGCTAATTTTGTTTTTGATTTTTTGTAGAGATGGGGTCTCAGTTTGTTGCCGAGGCCAGTCTTGAACTCCTGGGCTCAAGCGATCCTCCCACCTTAGCTTCCTAAAGTACTGAGGTTATAGGCATGAGCCTCTATGCCCAGTCATAAACATTTGTTGATTGATTGGATAACCTTTCCTCTTAACCCTGTAGTCCTTAAATGAAAGTTATGAATTTCCCCCAGTCTGACTAGGAGTGAGTTCTTAGCATTGTTTGTGGAGGAAGTTTAAGAAAACTTCCTCAGAACTCACCAAGCATGAAGTCGCTGACTCTGAGGTCATCAGAGAGGTCTGAGGTCCCCAGGCATGCCTGACGGTGGGGGTTGCACTCCTCCTCCCGCCATCCTCTTTCTGCTGTGGTTTCTTACCTGGTGTTTGAGGAAGCATTTACTAGGTTGTTGGACTTTTCTGAGTCTCCAGGCAATAGGACCTGCACTCATTTCGTGGAAGTTGGGGAAGTCCGAGGACCGATGGTAAGGGAGGCTCGCCTGGCTCTGTCAGAAGTGTATTGATTTGTTGTTGTTGATACTGAAGGGAAATCATTAATGAAATGCCCGTAGACACTGCTTCCTCGTTCTGGCTGGTGCCTGAAAAGAACGGAGAGCAGTGTCACTCTCTCTTGAACATGAGCTCAATTACTCACTCTCACCTTTGTGTATTATCACTTCTTTGCAGGACATTGTCAACACCTCTGGCCGCTTCTTCATCATCAACAAGGAAAATTACACTGAGTTGAACATTGTGAACCTGCAGATCACGGAAGACCCTGGCGAGTATGAATGTAACGCCACCAACGCCATTGGCTCCGCCTCTGTTGTCACTGTCCTCAGGGTGCGGAGCCACCTGGCCCCACTCTGGCCTTTCTTGGGAATTCTGGCTGAAATTATCATCCTTGTGGTGATCATTGTTGTGTATGAGAAGAGGAAGAGGCCAGATGAGGTTCCTGACGGTAAGGGCATCCCTACAAAATAGCTGTACTGTTGGGGTTGGTTCCTTCGGGTGGTTTCCAAGTACCCAAAGAGGACTATAGGGATGTTGGGATTCAATCCCTAAAGGAAAGAAGGAAAATTCTTATACCAGTTCCTAACCTACCCCCTACCCGTAAGATTTTTTTTTCTTTCTTTCTTTCTTTCTTTTTTTTTTTTTTTTTTTTTTTTGCATTAGCCATCTAGAGCTGTCCTTAGCTCTCTCCCTCTGTTTGGGTGTTTTCCAAACCCTAGTCCCATCTGCCTTTCAGGCCCCATGCGGTGAATGGGCAGCTGTCAGTCTCTTTGTTCAGCTCTGTCCTCCTTCAATACAGATCATCAGGCAGATTGAGCTTGAGGAGAATCCAAGTCAAGCCTAGAAGCCACCCCAAGATCGCAGGCCACCTGGCCTTTCAGGCAGATTTAAGGTACCTAACTGGTTGTCACATGGTTGCCTGGTGTAGCCCCTGTAGGTAACTGCCCCAGCCCAGTCAGACTGTTCTCAGAAAAGCCATTGGAACGAGCCAGCGTTTGGTTCCTTGGTTGGTCCCTTTGATGGGTTTCCAAGGCTCTCTACTGGGTGGCTTTCCATCTGTGTCTCACAGACAAAGGAGAGTCTGATGTATCCACCCATCTAGTGTAAGACAGAGATAGCGAAGGCAGAACAAATGGAGTCCATGCCCCGAGGCTGTGCCCTCAAGCTGACCTAGGGTCAGGGAAGGGAGGAGATGGTAGCAGCAGAACCACAGCACACCATTAAGCACTGGAAAGAGCAAGAGCTGAAATCGGAGGTTATTGGATATGCCTAGAGTCAGAAAAGCCTTGGGAAATTTTTGGTGATCGATTTTTTGGTCTCTCACCCTGGGAAGGGGGAAGCTGCTGATGGAGACTTCTATCTGCAGTACTTCAGGTTCCCAGCTGGCTCCCCATCCCCACCCTATAACATGACCAGCATAAAGAAATTAATTGGCCAACTGTTACCACTACTAGTCTGTCCCTGGCTAGACTAGACAGATGGGTGTGCCCCTGGGCTCAGTGGCAGCCAACCTGGGGTAATGGTGGGGTTGCCAGCTGTAGTCCAGCTGTTCTGGGGCCTGTGTTTGTGCACCTGTGGTGCTGTATCCTGCTCCACAGAGCTGGCTGTCCAGGGGAGAATACAAAGTGACATCTGGTGCCCCCTCAGAAAGAGTGTGGCCCCAGAGGCATGCCATTGGCTTTAGACTCTCTGGGAGGACATGTTTGAGAGCAACAGCCCCTTCCCCATCTTTTTCTTTCTTCTCAGCAGTTCTAAATCTCTCTGCCTGCAGTAAGTAGAGTGAGTGGCTGGTGAGGAGGTTTGTTGATGACACTGACAGTATCTGGTGACTCCCTCCAGGTGTGCACTCAGCAGTGAGCTGGGCAGAGGCATGGGAGGGACGTTGGCTGGGAGCAGATGGCCTCTGTAAATGAGTCTCTAGTTTCCTGCAACCTGGGAGTGTCCCGGGGAGCTTTACTTTCCTACTTTATGAAGTGAACCTGCTTTCTTTGGGATTTCATGTACTCCTAATGCTTTTTTCCTCCAGATAGTTCTCTTTTCTGCTACATATTAGGACTCCCAAGGCAAGAGTGCACCTTTGTTTAGATCTGGGAGTAAAGGGAAAGAGCTGTCTGTCTCTCGTGTGTTTTCAGCTTGGCTCTGTGGGATCAGTTATGCCTCATTCCTGAAAAGGGCCTTTTTATCCCCCCAGAATGCTTTTCCTTTGCCAATACCACCTTCCTCAGCCTGCCCTTTGGAAAGGTTGAGAAGCTTAAAAAGTCAGGTAACAGAAGGCATAGATGGGCTTCAGAACCTGATTTGTAAATGTTAAGGCAAGGCTGGCTGCCACTGGTGAGAGTGACGCAGCAGCCTATAAGAAGTCACTGCGCGTATGAGGTTGCGATCACAGTGCATGTGGCAGGTTAGATTTGAGAAATGGTTAGGATTGTTCTGTTGGACAAGTGCAGACACCTGCCCAGGGAAGCAGCTCTCTTTTTTTAAGAGTTCCTTGGTTATTGAATTCAAATGGGGGACCAGTTTGTTATAGGAGACATCTGTGACCAGCAAATCTGAACAGCTTCCTGGAAATACCTCTTTTAAACTAAGTTATTATAGACAGTGAACGAATCCTACCCGTAAAAGAGATGACGGCAGGGTAAGTGCAAAGTAAAACCTCCTTGCTCTAGTCTCTTGGGAGAATATTGTAACGAAAGCAGCATTTACTTCGTTGTTGCATTGGGGTGAAAAATCTGAGATGCTGGAATAATCGCAATGTTTGCCTTCTCTCCTTCCCTTCCTGCCAGCCAGTGAGGGCCAGGCTCCACTCTCCATCTTCACACCCTGCCCTTGCTCCAGCATTTCCATTCTGTTTTTCTCCTCTGTCTTTCTCTCTTTCTCTCAAATTCCTCCCTGCTTCCACCCCTGCCCGCTTTTCTTCTCCTTTCCTGGAAGTAATCATTAAACAAAAGAAAAAGTTGAATGTTCTTTGGTGAGTTTTCCTTCTTCTCTGCCTTTTCCTTCTTTAGCCAGTTCTCCTCAACCCCTGTGCACTCCATAGGAAGAACAAACTTACCTGTCTGCTTTCTTCCCATGCGCTCCTCCCCAAATTTTCATTTAGATATATACATACACTCCTTTTTGGAATAAATGAAGAGGTACGTTATATTTGACACAAACTTGGGAGTGTTAGAGGTGATTAAGTGTTTACCTATCAGATAACCATCTGTGGCTCTGTGTTGGATTTTTTATACCATTAGGAAAATGGGGATTTTTTATAGGCCTGGCATACTTCTTCTTTGCCAACTAGCACTTTATTATCAAGATACACCCATGGCTCATTTCAGACTCACTGAGCTTTTTTTATGTGAACGCACAGTCTTCATATTTTGAGCAGTCTGTGAGTTCTTGGTAACTCATCCCCTTACTACAAAAGCACTAAGTGAACGATACAAAAGTATAAAAGCACAAATTTCAACTTATATAGTTTAGTTTATGTTTCACTAGAAAATCAAATATTACTTTGATTCCTCACATTGAAAATGCTTAGGATTGAGGTTTAGCTGCTTCCTTTAAAAAAAAAAAAAAAAGAAAAGAAAGCCCATGTCTTTTTTCTTGATCTACTGGAGTATTCTCAGGCCATTTCCTACATGAAAGTTCCCACCTGCGTCCCTTTAGTCCCTTGTATGGTCTCTTTGAGGATCAGTGCCCACTACGTTGTCTTCTAGGTGGATTAATCTACAGATCACCTTTACCTTCAGTATTTTCAGGAACAGGTGAATCATGGAGTCAAATAAGAGCTTTTTTTTGTTCACTTTACTCACCACTTGATTGAATTCCCTGAAAATGTTAAATGATAATTCTCTAAAAAGATCAGGTCAAGCTATCAGCCTCTAGCCTTCCATCCATGTCACAGCTGGGCACCTGCTTGGGTGCGCCTTCTGTGTTGGTGTCCTGCCGACTGCACTCCAGGAGCAGTCAGCATGTGCTCTCAAGCCTCCCCTCCCCAGGCCCTGGAGGAATGAATGGGGGAGTGAACCCACTTAGTTGTTGAGGGCTTCAGTTCTTCTGGATATTTTAGTGACCTCACAGACAGCATATTAAAACAGGAGCTGATTTAAGAAAAGTGCTGGCACCAAAAAAGAACTTTCGGTTTTTACATTGGGATAATTGTTATAAGCAAGTCAAAGGGACTCTCTTCAAGTTACTGATGGAGAAGATATTTGAGGCTTTTTGGGGGGCCATTTTTAGTGGCTCTGATATATCCAAGCTCTTTTAGACACTTTAGAATGAAGAGCTGTTCTAATGTTCCAAAATCTATTAGTTGGTCAAAACATTTGGTAGCATATGAAGCTTTATACAGGCTAGGGATATTGGAAAAGAAATGCGACTTTTAAAATGACACCTAAAACATGCATTCAGTGTCTAGTCTGTTATCTAGGGGCCATCTGTCAGTAACAAGTTACCTTATGGAGAAAATGCAATAGAACCAAACAAGGAAGGAAATAGGAAGTAACTCTTAGTCTCTCTTGGGTTTAATGCTAACCTGCTAAGGTCAGGCAAAATTTAAGTGAATTTAGAAACCATAAAACCTTCTAGTGAGATGAATGCAGTGACAAAGGACCTGTGACCAGAGAGTCAGCTCTTCATTATTCGGACTTTAAAGCCATCTTTTTGGAGGTGATACTGTATTAGGCAGTCTGGTATTTACTAGACCTTGCAGAGCACCCCTTCTAGATGAGGCGGATATAGGGGGAGCGAGGGCTGTGGTCCATTCAGTTGGGAAGATGGAACACACAGATAAATCAGTGTGTGCTACAGCTCCACCGGGAACTTCACTCTCATAAGGTGGATTCCAGAAGCATCTTGTTTCCATTCTCCCCCAAGTCCTCTTCCTCTCATCCAGCCAGTGGCTGTAATACTGAGGTGGAGAGAACAGTCATTGTTTAAGCTGGCTATCTTTTGGCCTGAGGGTTTGGGGTATGTTGATATTTGTCGGTTACTATGACTTCTTTTTTTTCCCCCCTCAATTGCATCAAACCCTTAAAACATGGTGGTAAGTGAGCGATATGCATGCTTTTGGAGTTTGTTTAATCTCCGCTTCAGTCTATACGATGCACAGTTCATAATGTTAACACTTTTCTTCAAGTTTACTTCATTCACTTTCACAACTAATTTGGATTTCAGTTTGCTGTTTAATCCTCATTTACTTTGATTTTTGTATCTTTTTCTGTAATTCTGTTCTTTCCCTCTCCCCTGACTTCCCTGTTAGGGGTCAAGTCGTTTTTTTTGTCTGACCTGTAGGGGAGAGTGGTGCTGCAGATAGTGATTCAGTCCAGGAGAGTGGGGAGACATGAGGCTCTTTTGTTTGTCAGTGTGAAAGTGGATTTGGGGAGACAGATGAAGGGGGCTCCTGGGATTTTGCCCCCTTGTGAATCTCAGCTGCTCCCACTTGCAGGCATGGCAGCTACGCCGGAGGCACTGTCGCTAAAACACCTCCATGCAACCCTTTGCATGTTACCAGCTTGTTGGGCTGGAAAGTGACATTACTAATCAGACACCAGGGAATACCCACACTCCAAAAGGAAAAACAGCCCGTGGTGTGAGGTGCTTGGGTTGGTGCCTACAGTGTCATGCTTTGAAAAGATTAGCCTGGCTATTGCGATTCTCCCTCCCCTGCTTTTTATTTTAAATTTGGGAGTAGATTGGTGTATTCTTGATTCGGCTATCTTGCATTAGAATTTTGTATTTTCGAGTGCACAGCCAGAGCACTAAAAATATTCCAAGTTTGCTCCTGTGTCTTTTCATTTAAATCCCCAAAGTGCTTAGTTCCTAGCATGTAGCTGAGCTGACTTGGCCGGGATGCTGAGCATTAGGATGTTGTGAGGGGAGAATTTAGGCTGGGCTTGTGTGTCTTAGTACCTGGTATGTCTTTGTATCTCTCCACTGCATACACAGCACACAGATGTCTTGGGTGTCCTTAAGTCTTAGTTTGTTCTCTGTACCTGTTTGATAGTGTATACCGTTGTTAGTAGTGGACTCCTGTGGACACTAGTGTGTCGCTAGCCTATTGTTTTGGCTGATGAGTCATTGGTTTGTGGTTAGTTCTTTTTTTTGAAATCCTTTTTTGCTCCAGTCACTGTGTGTGCTGGCGGTGGCTTTGCCTCTCCGTTGCCTCGAAGGAACAGGTGGAGCAATGTCTCCCTCTGACAGACATTACTCCCGACGTGTGCTCCTGCAGATGCCTACACTGAGACTGTAATCTCCATAACTGCTTCATGTGCACCAAGCCCCCTTGTGGAATCCTGCTGAGAGTTTTTCTAGAAGCCTTCAGTGAAATCAAACTGTTCTGAATCATTTAGTCTACCTGACTTTTGTGTAATAAAAACAAACTAAGAGCACTTACTTGTTCCCTTCCCCTTGTGGGCCTTTTTAAAACATTCTGTCTCTGAATGTGTATCTCTGCTTAAAGGGGATCAAGTTGCACTTAGTTGAAACACGAAAGACATATAAATCAGAACCATAAAGTATCAATTTAAGAAGGCTTAAACTCATATAATGTCAGCTTTTTTATTTTAAAAAAGTTATCTCATGGCTCCCCTGGGTTTGGCTTCTGGTTTTGGCCAGGGCAAAAGAGTGAGCCTGTCTTTCTGAAGTCTTTTCTAGAGGGATGTCACCACTGTTCAGCTCTCCTTGGTGTGTCACAGAACATCCTCTGGTATACATACACTTGTTGCTGGCATAGCCCAGCATGGCTGACCCAATTTAGGTTGAACTATTGTGGTTGCCTCTTCTCAATCTCATTCTCCAGACTAAAGACTCTTCTAAAGATTACAAAACAGCAAGAAAAACAGAGTGCCCTTTGGGGAAGTGAGGATGTGTGGCTAAATGTACAGATTGTACACATCCATTCACATTGCAGGATTGAGCCAAAACTGCATGCATTCACCACAAGAAAACAAACAGCAGGATTTTACAACTGAAATGTTGGTTTGTCTTCTCATCTATTTAAGAGTGAACCACTGGAACTTGGGGACAAGATGAGTATAACAATGTTGCAGCCTATCTGTCCGCTACAGTTGCAGTTTTTCATGACAAGCATTCAAAGTGTTAACTAAAACCATTGAAACAACATACCTGCCATTTAAACTTGAATCTAGAAATAATAACTCCATGAGTGTTTTGCACCTCCAGATGGAATGGCCTTTAATAAATGCTGTGAGTAGCCATGATTGCCACTTGCAGTTTGCTATTCTATTAATCCTTATGCAGAATCTAACAGTTTTCTTCTTTCTTCTCTTATCTCTCATGGATTTTTAAAAAACTGAACACCACGTAGATGATGAACCAGCTGGACCAATGTAAGTACTTTATTGGACATTGATTGAACAGTATCTGATTGAATTATGTTGTGTTTGCACTTTAATCAAATGGAGTAGCTAAGATTGGAGGGGAAGACAGTGAGTGGAAATGAAGGTTGCAGTGTTGCAGATTTCTTAGCTTGACACAGATCTGACTAAAAACAACTTGATTCTCAGGATAAGCGGCTATGCTGTCTTGTTTTCAGTGGCCATACAAAGTGGAATACCACGCAAAAAACTTTTTTTCAAATTTTGCATATTCGATATGCTTAAAATGTGGGGGAAATGGCCAGTATATCTGAGGCTTCCTGTTTTGTCAATGTTAAAACATTTCTGATCCCAGGCATTTCAGATAAGGAATACTCAACCTGTAGCTACTTAAGGAATGTTTTTTAATGCACTCATACTGTGCCACAAAATTTCTCACTACACCAGGGATGACAGTAAAAGAATCCCTGTATTTCCATGTGTTACACTTTCAAAGGTTGTTATTGACCAAGTTTAACTCATGTAATGCAATTTGAGGCTGGACTGTAGCCTGGATAAACAGTCTAGCCCCATTAACAATTGCTGGTATCCAAGAGAGGGTACTGCAGGTATGGAATCAATCTAAGCTGGGCAGAATCTCCTAGAGCTGGACTAAAGAGTGAGAAGCAGACAAACAGCACCCAAATTTGTTAAGTACCAGAGGGCCCAGCACTGCCAGGTTATGATTACCTTTTTTTTTTTTTTTTTTGAGACAGAGTCTTGCTCTGTCACCCAGGCTGGAGTGCAGTGGCGCAATCTCGGCTCACTGCAAGCTCCGCCTCCCGAGTAGCTGGGACTACAGGCGCCTGTCACCACTGCCGGCCAATCTTTTGTATTTTTAGGAGAGACGGGGTTTCACCGTGTTAGCCTGGATGGTCTCGATCTCCTGACCTCATGATCCACCCGCCTCGGCCTCCCAAAGTGCTGGGACTACAGGCGTGAGCCACCACGCCTGGCCATGATTACCTTTTATCAGTTGAGAAGGGATAGTGGTGTTGTGTTCAGTGGAGAAAAGTTTTACATATTCTCACCTGTATAGCAATTATAGTTCAGAAATCAAAGGGAAAGTACTTGTCTGCCTTGGGGGTCAAAAGGAGGATAAAATGAGGTATATCCAGGTTGAGTCTACCTACTGCCAAAATCCATAATCTGAAATGCTTCAAAATCCGAAGTTTTTTTGTGTGCTCACTTGATGCTCAAAGGAAATGCTCATTGGAGCATTTTGAATTTGGGGTTTTCAGATTAGGGATGCTGAACTGGTAAGTATAATGCAAATATTCCAAAATCTAAAAAATTCAAAATCTGAAACATTTATGATCCCAAGCATTTCAGAGGAGGGATACTTCACCTGTAGCTACTTAATGTTTTTTTAATGCACTCATATTGTGCCACAAAATTTCTTACAACACCAGGGATGGCAGTAAGTGAATTTCCATGTGTTACACTTTCAAAAGTTATTGACTGAGTTTAACTCATGTAATGCAATTTTTCCTCCAAAGGAAAACCAACTCTACCAACAATCACAAAGATAAAAACCTGCGCCAGAGAAACACAAATTAAGTACTGCTTACAATGTAAGTATGGCCTTCTTTAGCAGTTTTTAAAATTATATTCAAATGAATGTACTTCTATTGACCTTTTTACAACTTCTTCAGTAATTGGTGTTATGTTGTAAAATCTTTTAATTCATTTCAGAGCAGCTGATAATGATGAAGCCAGTTCTGTCTGCCCAGTTTAGGGACTGGAAAGGAACATTTTTCAGCTGCGTTTTTTGCTGTTGTTTGGATTTTTTAACATGGAGTCTCACTCTATTGCCCAGGCTGCAGTGCAGTGGCGTGATCTTGGCTCACTGCAACCTCCACCTCCCGGGTTCAAGCAATTCTCCTGCCCCAGCCTCCTAAGTAGCTGGGATTCCAGGTGCCCACCACCACGCCCAGCTAAATTTTGTATTTTTAGTAGAGACAGGGTTTCATCATGTTGGCCAGGGTGGTCTTGAACTCCTGACCTCAAGTGATCCGTCTGCCTCAGCCTCCCAGAAGTGCTGGGATTACAGGCGTGAGCCACTGCGCTCTGCCATCAGGTGCATTGTCACGTTTATATAAATGCCATTTCAGAAGACGTGTTTTAAAATAAATACTTTTCCACATTATATCTTTACAAAGAGGTGAAATTGTCACCTTCTTAGGTGGATTATTCCCAGAGGCCTGCTAGTCTTACCTCACATATGGGGGCAAGACAAGAATGGTGGCCAGGCAGCAGCAGGGCCAGAATGTCATCTTGTTAGGCACATGGAGATCAGAATTTCACACCACATCCTTGAGTATGCTGTTTGAACCAAAGCTTTGTGTGGCACACGGTGTAGTTGTGAGTGACAGTGCACATTCCCTTTATAATTTCCAAATACATATTTCTTTACAGATCTTTAGGTTCCTGAAACTGGTGGCAACATGACCTGCTAAATTTTCTGCTTGGACCTCTTTGGTTCTCTCCCCTTTCAAGTGAGCAGCACCACAATGACTGTCTAAAGCATGCCTTATTTAGCCTCTCCTGTAAGGGTGATCTAGCCAGGTACATTTTAAACAATGCTTCAGTGTAGAAGGTGTAAACTATTTTGGGCTTGATGTGCTGTGAATGTTGCTTTTTTTCCTTTGTTAAAATATTTAAATAGAAGTGAAAAGGTCCTCTGAGGATCAGATCATGCATGCGCCATTTTTTACTTAATGCAGCTGTTAAATTGGCAAAGCTCTAAAATGCACTGCTGCCATCTAGTGATACATTTTTGTAAAGTACAGCAAAACCTACAGATATATACAGTATATAAATATATATATATATATTTATATTTTTGGGGGTGGGAGAAATCCAAAATAAAGTAAATGCTTGTTTCATTTTTAAGCTGCTGATATTCATTCCTTATTGTATGTTGTCATGAGGAAATTGTGCAGTTCTGGTACATAAAGATGAGTAATATAAACTGAAATCTATAATTTTAAGGGCTTAACCTGTGACTTTAATAAGCTGGAACAGTCCACTGAATGGGTATAATGAATTGCAGTATATACGTATGATTGCTTTTTAAGTGATTATCTTTTCTTTTGTTAAGTCATGTAAATTCATAAATCCTTTTGCACTGATGTGTTGAACCTTATTCTTGTACATTCAATCAAGGCAAACTTTTATAATTTTTCTTTTGTTTCCAATGACCTTGAAATGTTATAGCATGGTGATATTCTATGCAACTATAGTTATACTTTTTGGTTTGACACTGTATTTTTTCACATTGATTTACTGGTTGATGATAGATTTTATAACCTAACAGGGTTCTCATGCGGTGCGTAACTGTAGATGCATGTACTTGTGTTTTGTGTAATTATTGAAGTGCAATGATGTATAAAAGTGGATTCACCTGTTTTTAAAAATAAAACATTGATAAAAGGTGTTTGGAATAATGCTCTTTATTCTAATATCTTCTTTAATTTTAGGAGGAAGCATTTTTCAATACTTTGAAGTTCCTTAGTTATATATGTATCCAGAGCATTAATTTCTCAACCCCGCTAGCTTTTTAAGTTCCTTTTCTACCTCTTCCACAAATGCTGGGAAATTCTGATCCATAAGGCACAAACGCAGGAAGGGGCCTAACTCTTCTGCACCCCATGCAGATTGTTCATAGACACGGGGCAGCTCCTCCGAGGCCAGAAGAGTCTGCAGGGATACCAGAAAAGTAGTTACAGATTACAGGTCAGCAATACCTGGCTAATAGAACACCGGCAAATAGCGCTTTAAGGAAAGATTAGAGAAATACACACCAAAAAAAATTAGTATTAATTAGCTTTACAGGCTTCCTTTACGTAGTTTTACTGTTACATTTACAATTTTGTATATTAATATGTTTTCTGAATACACATAGCATGTGAGATAATCTTGTTGCCTTAAGGAAAGAATTTCAAATATACTGATTAAATGTTTGCAAAGTTGAGATTCTACTTTAATGAAGAATACTGTGCTGATAACCTGTGGATTGAAAATAAACCTGTCAATGAATGAGCTGCACTAGCTTAGTTCATCTTCCCCACAGCATAGGTGGCAGAGTGGATGTGAGCAGTCTATGTGCTAGCTGCATTCTGAATATAAGAAAGAGGCCACAAACTGCCCAAAGGACATTAGTTCACACGTGTCTTTTTCTGGCCATCTATGAGTTTTGACAAATCGTCGTCTATCACCACAATCAAAATACACAACATTTCTTTCACTTCCCAAAAAACTCCCTTATGTGACCCTCGTGCTAACCATTGCCGTGAAACCCTTAACCCTTAGCAACGACTGATCTCTTCTCCATATAGTTTTGCCTTTTCCAGAATGTCATATAAATGAAACATATGTTGAATCTGGCTTCTTACACTTATCATAATGAATACATTTGAGATTAATCCATGATGTTGAGTATTTCAGTAGTTCATTTTTATTGCTGAATAAGTATTACATTGCATGGATGTGCCACAGTTTGGTTATCTATTCTCCAGTTGAAGGACATTTGGGTGGTTTTATTTTTTGCAATTATGAATAAAGGTGCTATAAACATTCACTTACGGGTTTTTGTGTGAACACAGATTTTCATTTCACTTCAGTAAACACCTGGGATTGAGTCATGTGGTGAGTGTATATTTAACTTTGTAAGAAACTGCCAAACTGTCATCTATAGTGGCTGTCCCATTTACGTTCCACTAGCAGTGTAGATGAGAGTTCTAGTTGCTCACCCATCCAGGATTTGGTATGGTCAGTTTTTATTTTTAATTTAGGCATTCTAGTAAGTTTGCAGGATGTCTCATTGTAGTTTTAATTGGCATTTGCCTAGTGACTAATAATGTTGAACTTTTCACATGCTTATTTGTCATCTGTATGTTTTCTTTGGTAACCTGCAGTGTTTTAAAACCAGTTGAATTAGTTGCCAACATTTAAATATTAGGAGAGTTCAAATAAAAATCTTGACAATTTGGAAGATCTGGCAACACTGGATCCACAGCCCCACATGATGATGATGGGCTCCAGTTCTGTGTGGTCCAGTTACTTTGGTGCATTGACTCGGTCATCTTATTGATTGCTCACATTAATTCTATGAGGTAGGTGGTTTTATTATTTCTGTGGATAGCAGGGTTTAGTGTGTAAGTACATAACTGATATTTCTCTAGGAATTCTCTATAACAGAAATTTACTTGGGATATACAGCACTTGTTTTGTTTATTTTTAGAGATGGGGGTCTCACTATGATGTTAGGCCAGGCTGGTCTTGAACTCCTGGCCTTAAGTTATCCTCCTGCCTCAGCTCCCCAAAGTGCTTGAGACTACAGGTGTGAGCCACCATGTGCGGCCTACATCCCTTGTATTAATTGCATTTCTATCTCATCTATGATTATACCACACTTAGTATCCTATTAAATGAACATTTATGTTTCCAATTTCTTAACAAGCATTGTGATGAACATATGTATATCTGTGTAGTTGAAATGAAGTTATAGATAACATATTAAATTTGATATGTACTGCTAAATTGCCTTCCAAAAGGTTTTACCAACTTACATAGAATGACATGTCCAAAAGATAAGAGCAAATAAGTAATGTATCTGAGCTGCAAGCTTCATGCTTTTTCTCATTTGTATATGGTTCTTCCATACTACATAAATAAACTGGGTAAGGTATACCTTTTCTAGCAATTGATATTTCCTAAATAAGGACATCACACCCTGCCTTGTTTATTGTTTTATTGCAGCTCTGTGTTCGTCAGCTTATCTGATTCAGTTAGCCCCTAACTCCAATGCAAATATGGGCATTATTCAGTCAGTTCTGCTGCTGGACAAATAATTTTTTTTCATAGTTACCAGGTTATTAAAAGAAATAAACATGAATTCTTGGTCTTCCTACCTCTTGAGTTTTTTATTCTATATGATTGTCCATTTCTTTTGAGTTAGTGGCAAGCCAGATTGAGAAAACACCTTTTTAAAAAAACTACTGATAGCACAGTTTAGTAGAGGAATTAAAAGAAAATTCGGCCGGGCACAGTGGCTCACACCTGTAATCCCAGCAATTTGGGAGTCCGAGGTCGGGGAATCACTTGAGGTCTGGAGTTCAAGACCAGCCTAGCTAACATAGTGAAACCCTGTCTCTACTAAAAATACAGAAATTAGCTGGGCGTGGTGGCACATGCCTGAAATCCCAGCTACTCAGGAGGCTGAGGCAGGAGAATCGCTTGAACCCAGGAGACGGAGGTTGCAGTGAGCCAAGATTGTGCTACTGCACTCCAGCCTGGGCAACAGAGTGAGATCCTGTCTCAAAAAAAAAAAAAAAAATCATACTTGAAGATTGATGAACTCCACGCAGAATTCTGTGGAAAGCAGAAGCTGCTGGCTTGAACACCTGCAATGAGGAATGCAGTGAGGGGGAGACAAAGTCCTTGCAGAGCTCCCAGGAGAGTAGACATCGCACAACCATAGTTTTGAATGAAGAGGTTTTGCAGCAGGGGGCAAGGGGCTGTCTGAAAGCAAGTCTGAGGTAACAGAATTGAATCCTCCTGGGTTTCTACACATCCTTAGCTGAGTACTGACAATCTGCCCATATAGAAACTGTTGTAGATCTGAATCCACATTCATTTTGATATTTGTCTTAAAATAGTTCCCAAATTTCATTTCCATAATTACAATGGAGTCCTTCATTTATTCTTCTTTTTTGGGAAAGTGGTGATTAAATTTTCTGTCTTGGACATTCAACCACTTTTCCTCTTTTTATTTCCTTTGGAGGGTAGATCTTGACTATGTGCCTGCAGCCATCATGTCTCACCTCACAGCTTACTGTAATAAAACTTACTCTGCAAGGGGTAGATGAACATGGCCCTGTCTCTGTCTTTATCACCTTTTAGAGTAATGCTTTAGGTTTCTCTCCTAAAACAAAGAAGTGAACAAAGGGATACAAATTCTTAGGGGTCACTGCTTTTCATGATAAGAAAATTAAACACAGAAATAAGCTCTACCTGAGCTAACTGCGTCAGTGAGGTCCTTCCGTCTGGAGCGCCTGTGCCCGCTGTTACACGCACTTGCTGTTCTGAGTGCTGGTGGGACTGGAATAAAACATGCAATAAGGAGACTAGCTGAATGTAATCTTGCATACCACAGGACATTAAAGAAGCAGAAATACGCATTCATGTTCAAAGAAAGAAAATACCACTAAGAGTGGTTAAAATGATTGTCAGCATAGGTCTGTCTCAGTTTAAATGGGGGGTTACTTGAGTTACCACAGCAGAAGTACTGAGTTTAAATTTGCAGCTCCTGACTTCTATTTGATGTTCCTCAGCCGTTGGCAGGCTGTTAGTGCTGCTTCCTGTCAGACACTGGGGCATTCTTCTGTTGTCAGAGGCCCAGCCTAGGATTCAGGACCACGCATAGGCCCTGGAGGGCTGGCCAGGTGCTGTTACCATGGCAGCCTGCATGCAGTGGATGGACCCCAGCTTCTGATCATGATTTTTCACCCTCTAAAAATTATTGCTCAAGTAATGCATGTTCATTGCAGAAATGCAAAATGGAGGGAAACCCCTATAATTTTAAGACAACTGATGTTTTCAGTAAAATGATTTTTTTAAAAAAATCTCATTTTAGATATGCTGAAGGAATGAATTCTTCTGTAAGTAAAACTTATAGATATCTGGTTTCAATGACTGTTTATGCCTCCTACGTACTAGACACTGAGATGGTACAGGGATAGGAGCTACAAAGAACAAGATAGAGTCCTGCCCTCTGGAAGCCCACAGCCTAGTGAGAACCTAACAAGTAGAACCATGAATTACCTTGCAACTCAGGAAGTGCTGGAGGTTCACAGAGAAGTGGGTAAATTGGAGGGCTGTATGCTAAGCAGGAGGTACAGGGATGCTGTAAGGTCCATGCTATCTGGAGAGAATCTGTGGTAATAAGTTGTTCTCAGGTAGGACAATGGGATGCTTTCCAGGGAAATAGAATGAACAAGGTACAGGAGGTCTGGAGGCATGAAGGGCCCTACCTCCGTTCCTTCCTAGCCACATGTCTGCAGGCCCCACTATGCTTTGGGTACCTGAGGCTGCTGCAGTGCTAATCTCCAGATGAGCAGTGGTGCTCCTGCACTAGGTATGAGCTGATGGTGCAATACAGGGAGAAAACAGGGCACTCTTTGGAGGGCGCTTCTGTCCATCAGCAACAAGTCTGACTACCCGAAGGCGGGAGATGCCAAATTCTGTCTTCTGTCCTACAGAGAAGCTGATGGTTGCTAGTCAGTAGGTAGCAGAAAAGCAGACCTGGAAGCACTGAACAGCAACAACAACAAGGAGGTGTGGAGGTACAGTGAGGAAGGAAAGAACAAAGACAAGAAAATGAAAAATGAGCAAAATGGCCAAAGGACTCTATAATCAAGAGCCCTAAGACAATCCGCATTTCTCTCTTCAGTTCCTTCAGTTTTCTCCTCTGTAAACACAAGGCAGACTCTAGTGCCTAGTGTTTCTTCAGCTATCACATTTGATGCTTTCCTAGAATACGTATCATTTCAGCTCACACAAAGAACTAAGATGTCAACCAAAATTGCCATAAACACTGTAAAAAATAGCTAAGTGGCACTGAACCACCTGGGGCTAGTGGGCTCTAGGATTAGATGGTCCACCTCTGCAACAGCATAGAGATGGAAGGGTCTGCGCACATAGTAGCTGGAGTCCCCTAGCTACTTTCTTGTGGACTTTTTGTGCTAACAGGAAAGAGTTCACATAGGAACTGCGATCCTCTTTCCTGTCTTTCCCACCCCCTCCCCAGGATGGGCTGGTTGCCTTTGAAGTGCTAAGGTTGAGAAATGCCTGGTTAAGCCACAATTAACCAAATTACAAGGCTAAGGAAAAGCAAAAACTAAAATATGAGCCAGGAAATGACTCAAGAACTTGAAATAGAATTCTATTTGCAAAGAAGGAAACAACTCTTATACTAAAAGATTACAGGTATTACAAAAATGACACACCTGAATGTAAGAGAGCAGCAAAATGACCAGAACTTGGCCATGGCTTGTACCTCTTAAGATAGATTCTGAGAAAGAGCACATGCTACCAAAATTTGTACATCAGTAGTTAAGGGCAAACCTTATGTTTTACCATTAGGAAAACTAGAATGTTTAGGTGGTGCCTCACAAGGTCTGTACCCTGGTGGAATTTAATCCAATGACTTTAACTTGTCGTCTGCTCTGCAGCTTCATACACTATCTTATCATGCCCTCTTTTGGCTCTGGAGGTTCTGATCCTTGCTAATTGGCCAGGATGCTGATTTGTTCATTTGCAAGGGAAGGCACATCTGAATGGGTAACATTGAGGGCAATAATAGTAATGATGGATTTTGTGATTATATTTACCAGGCATTGTATTGGGTGCTCTCTATACAGCATTTTAATCTCACCATTTTACAGATGGAGCTAATTGGCTTCCGTGAGATCACACAGCTGCTAAGAAATAGGGTCAGGATTCTAACCTAGATCCATCTTGATACCAAAGCCTGTGGTCTTTGTACAATATCATGCTATCTTAGTCAAATCACCCAATTACAGTTCAGAAGAGTCCCTGAAAATAGAATCAAGAAAGGCATGCAAGTTTCCTAACCACTTCTCAGGTATTTCTACCTAGACATTTGGGATCAGTCTTTAACATCAGAGAGCTGGAGCCTTCATCTGGGGCTGTAACTCACAACTCAGCCTGCATTTGTTACTGCATGTTACAACTTCAATTTATTTGCCTTTGTAATACTTAGGTAATTGTGTAACCTGACAAGGTTCTAGCGTGATGTGACTTCATTACCTTTATAAGGAATTCCAGACTGAGTTCCCAAATTCTGGAACCCTTCTAGGTTTTTGTTACACTGCATGCATTGGGTATACTATACTATCATCTGAATCTATTGGGCGGTGAAACATGAAAATCTGAAGGGAAAAGAATCATAAGCAATAAAATACCTTATAGTAACCACTCCAACCCATTTGTAGGGAGGGGATTCTTAAGAAATACAGCAGGAGCTGAATATAGACAGAGCATTATTGTTTGAAACTAGATCCAGGGTTTGTGAGGCAAGCAGCTTTGGCGTTAAGACATCTTCATGAAAATCAAATGAAGGGAAAGAACTCAAACCACCAAAATCTGTTTGGCAAACTAAATACCTTCAAGAGGAAATCATGTAGCACCTGCTTAAAGAAAAAGATTTTATAATAAATAATGAAAATTTATGTTCACCTCAGACAAATTATAAAGAACAGGAAACTTAGTGACAGCCGGGCCTGATGGCTCACGCCTGTAATTCCAGCACTTTGGGAAGCCGAGGTGTGTGGATCGGCTGAGGTCAGGAGTTCAAGACCAGCCTGGCCAACATAATGAAACCCCATCTCTATTAAAAATACAAAAATTAGCTGGGTGTGGTGGCGGACACCTGTAATCCCAGCTACTCGGGAGGCTGGGGCAGGAGAATGGCTTGAACTCGGGAGGCGAGGTTGCAGTGAGCTGAGATCGTGTCATTGCATACTCCAGCCTGGGCAACAAGAGCGAAACTCTGTCTCAGGAAAAAAGAAAAAGAAACTTAGTGACAAATCAGCAAAAATGAGGTGTTTTGGTTAAGGAAAACTAACGGGATGAAGTAATGGAAAACCAGGTTTGGAAAAATGACTTCTGAAAGCAAATGCAAAACCCAGCTTGAAAGCAGAATCTCATCTCAAGAGCAGAGATAGGTGCTTATTCCAACAATATTTGAAACTATGCCAAAGAAATGCAGAACACATATTTCTGGGAGAAATCCTACAGTCATGAGTCTCAAATGTTTTTATCTCAAGACCCCTTATGAGGCCTTCAAAGAACTTTGATTTGAGTTACATTTATCTGTGTAGAAATTAACATGGAATTTTAAACTATTCATTAAAAATAGTAAACTCACTTTATGTTAATATTGAAAACATTTTTATGGAAAATAACTTTTCTAAAACAAAATGTCATGATTTTTGCAAATCTCTTTACTACCTAGTTTAATAGAAGGTGACTGGATTCTTACATCTGCTGCTGCACTCAGTCTGCTGTAATGTGCTGCTTTGGTTGGAGACATGAAGAAAATCTGGCCTCACACAAATTGTAGATGGAGAAGGGAGGGGTATTTTAGAATAGCCTGTTCAGATAACTGGATATTCCTTGATATAACACCAAAACTCAACGAGTGAGTTGCTTAAAGGTAAGTTGCAATATAGAATCTGAAACCATAGCAATGAACTTGTTATACTGTTATATTACACTCTTTTAGCCTATCTTACACTTTTGAATAGCTCTTTATCCACGTATAATTTTGTGGCATTCAGGCATCGGTCATTTGGACAGTACTGGTTCACTGAATATACTGTCTTTCAAATATTGACACATTTCATCAGGTAATTACTTATAAAAAAGTAAATCACATTTATTAATAGCACCTTTAGAAAAGTCTTCCAGGTTGGGAAGTTGTGAAGCTCATGTGGCAGATACAAGTTTTTCAAGATTCTGATTTTCACTTGGAAGTTTAAATTTTATCATTTTCAATAAATACTATCAGTTGTTTTCCTGAAGTGATAGTTCATTTCACTGATTTTTGAAAAAATGTCTGCCAAATAACCCAAATCTGAATGACCATAGTCTATTGTTCTCTCACATGATGATGGTATTTTATGAAAAAAGAGGCTAGTTCAAAACACAAATGTCATACAGGTGCATTCCCTTGAGACAACCATGGTACTGCAGACTGCTGGGTTATTTCGTTAGTTTGTTCTTCCTGCGAATGATTGGAACATGATGACTATGAGCACAGTTTGGTGCCACTGCCTGATCTGTATGATGGCAGCAGCCTTACTCATGATGCCTTTGTCTCATCAATTCAAATGCTGACACAGTGAAAAAGGCAAGTGATACTATTTCTTTAAATATTAAGAAAAATAATTTTGACCTTGTGGACCCCCTGGAAGGGTCCTAGGGAGGGGTTCATGGACCACACTTTGAGAACCACTGTTCTATAGTGACACCTGGAATGCAGCCGGAACTCCTTCCTCCCTAATTTCTGAATAGGGAGCTACAATGAGTGTCGGCCTCAATTTTAAAAAGTCGCCCAACGTTAGATGTTTTTAAACTACAAACCTAACAGACTCGACAAACTCCAGTCATTTTGGCCACTCATTGTGCACTGCATTGTCATGTTTCCTGCATAGCCGACACATCAGCCTACTTACTCCAGCCTGCCATGGGACACTCTTTGCAGAGTCCTTCCCTTGACTTCCACTTGCCCTGGGTGGGCCAGGAATCAGCTGAAGCTCCTGGATGTTCCCATCAGGCACCTGAACGGTTATGTATTGCGCCAGCTTTTGAACACAACTGCAGCAGTGTTCCAGCGCCTGCTCCTTTGACTCTCCACTGAACTGTACTCGAAACAGGCGACTCTTGTCCTGTTTGACAAATCAAAAGACCCTCATGAGAGACCCTCGTCATATAACTTTACCTTTATTTACTTTGGGGTCTTCCACTGAGTGGTTCCTTTGCTTGGCGGAAGAAGAGGTATAGATAAGGGAACAGTCATCTTCACTTATTGATGCAGGCATAGAAAAGCCAATAACTCATTTTCTTCCCCCTTTTGGGAGTTGCTCATCATACTAAAATTCACTTCCCTCTGGGAAGTGACATCAGCAAAAATGGAAAAGCTCTATCATAAAGACAAGATCACTATACTGATTGCAGATCAATGTTTTATCATGCTTTGGAATAAAGATTTCATAGCTTCTAATTCCTTAAGTTAAAAATCTGAGAGGATAATAATACAGCATAGTCCTGCTCAACAAAATTTTTCTAAACTGACTAATATCAAACCAGGTAGATACCACATTAAACAAGGCAGTGAGCTTAAACAATACTGAGGAAGAGTGACAGGCAGATGCTCAAAGCTAACAGATCTCATGCTAACGATCTGTATATATAAACGATCTGTACCCTTTATCCTTAAAGAGGCCAGACTACCACACAAGTTGCATAGTGAAAGGCTGTCTTTAATTTGCTATATGAGTCACATCCCTTGGCAAATTAGCAAATGTGGGACAGATGCAATTAAAAATTTTTTAAAATCTTTCTACTACATCAAAGTTATTTGATTACAAGTATAAAAACATCTGTGTAAAAACATCTAGATTGTAACAATAACATAAAATCATTTTAGAATAGTTTCCCTTTTTTCTAGTCTACTACTCTGCCTAGTTTAAAGGAGTCAACCTACATAAAAGCCTCCTGAAACAGGACTGTATATATTGTATACCTTTCATCAGTTTCCTCTGTAAAGAAATGCAGATGCTAAGCTTAGCACAGTGACAGTCCTTTTCCCCCATGAAATATATATACCATGTTGCTACCTTGAAAACACTCTTAACTACAGTTAACAAAATCCTGTAAGTTCCTATAAGCAAATAGTCCTTGATTTTCCTGTTCACAATTCACACTATTTAAATAAATCCATCGAGTAAAGCCATATATTTAGGTTACAGAAAACTCTTGGCATGGCTAAGATAATGGTAAACTATCATGTTTAGAAGAATAGACACCACTACCCCTTTTCACTGCCACTATTTGGTTCTCTTCATATTTTAATTCATTTAATTTTTCCCCTCAATATAAAAGTAATCCATTATCATTATCTTGTCCAACATTGGAAAAAATATGAAAATAGTCATATATATCTGTGGGTATATAAAAGAATATATGCAAACACTCGTGTAATTTCTAAAATTTTAGGTACATAGGTATATATATGAGATACATGAGATGTTTTGATACAGGCATTCAATTGGTAATAATCACATCATGGAAAATGGGGTATCCATCCCCTCAAGCACTTATCCTTTGAGTTACAAACAATCCAACTCTACTCTTATTTTAAAATTTCCATTATTGTCATCCTGTTGTGCTATCAAATACTAGGTCCTGTTCATTCTTTCTTTTTTTGGACCCATTAACCATCCCCACTACCCCCCACTACCCTTCCCAGCCTCTGGCAACCATCTTTCTACTCTTTATCTCCATGAGTTCAATTGTTTTGATTTTTAGATCCCTCAAATAAGTGAGAATATGTGATGTTTGTCTTTCTGTGCCTGGTTTATTTCACTTAACATAATGACCCCCCAGTTCCATCCATGGTATTGCAAGTAACAAGATCTCATATTTTTAACTTTTATTCTAAGTTCAGGGGTCCAAGTGCAGGTTTTTTACATGGGTAAACTTGTGTCACGGGAGTTTGTTGTACATATTATTGCATCACCTGGGTATTAAGCCTAGTACCCATTCGTTATTTTTCCTGATCCTCTACCCTCCAAAAGGCCCCAGTGTATGTTGTTCCCCTCTATGTATTCATGTGTTCTCATCATTTAGCTCCCACTTATAAGTGAGAACTTGTGGTATTTGGTTTTCTGTTCCTGTGTTAGTTTGCTAGGGATAATGGCCTCCAGCTCCACCCATGTCCCTGCAAAAAATATTTCATTGTTTTTATAACTGCATAGTACTCCATGGTGTGTATGTGCCACATTTTCTTTTTCCAGTCTATCACAGATGGGCATTTAGGTTGATTCCATGTCTTTGCTATTGTGAATAGTACTACAAAGGACATGCATGTGCGTATGTCAATATTACAGAATGATTTATATTCCTTTGATTATATACCAAGTAATAGGATTGCTGGGTCAGATGGTGTTTTAGGTCTTTGAGGAATTGCCACAGTCTTCCACACTGGCTGACCTAATTTACACTCCCACCAACAGTGTATAAGCATAACCTGCCAGCATCTGTTATTTTTTTACTTTTCAGTAACAGTCATTCTGACTGGTGTGAGATGGTATCTCACTGGTTTTGATTTGTATGTCTCTACTGATAGTAATGTTGAGGTTTTTTTCATATAGTTGTTGGCTGCATGTATGTCTTACTTTTAAAAAATGTCTATTCAGCCGGGCACAGTGGCTCACGCCTATAATCCCAGCTCTTTGGGAGGCTGAGGCAGGAGGATCACAAGGTCAAGAGATCGAGGCCATCCTGGCCAACATGGTGAAACCCTGTCTCTAGTGAAAATACAAAAATTAGCTGGGCATGGTGGCGCATGCCTGTAGTCCCAGCTATTCAGGAGGCTGAGGCAGGAGAATCACTTGAACCCGGGAGGCAGAGGTTGCAGTGAGCCAAGAGCATGCCACTGCACTCCAGCCTGGCAACAGCGAGCCTCCATCTCAAAAATAAAAAAAACAGAAGAAAAAAGAAAGTGTCTATTCAAGTCCTTTTCCCACTTTCTTATGGAGTTTTTTTCTTGTAAATTTAAGTTTCTTGTAGGTGCTGGATATTAGACCTTTGTCATATGCATAGTTTGCAAAAATATTCTCCTCTTCTGTAGGTTTTGTGTTTACTTTGTTGATAGTTTCTTTTGCTGTGCATCGCTCTTTGGTTTAATTAAATCCTATTTGTCAACTTTTGCTTTTGTTGCACTTGCTTTTGGCATCTTTGTCACAAAATCTTTGCCTGTGCCTGTGTCCTGGATGGTATTGCCTAGGTTGTCTTCCAGCATTTTTATAGCTTTTGGTTTTACATTTAAGTCTTTAATCCATCTTGAGTTAATTTTTGTTTATGGTGTAAGGACCCTTCCAGTTTCAATTTTCTGTGTATGGCTAGCCAGTTATCCCAGCGTCTCATTCTTTTTTATGGCTGAACAGTACTCCACTGTGTGTAAGTACCACATTTTCTTTATCCATTCATCTGCTGATGAACACTTAGGTTGCTTCCAAATCTTGGCTATAGTGAATAGTGCTGCAACAAACATGGGGGTGCAGATATCCTGATATGCTGATTTCCTTTCTTTTGGGTATATATACAGCAGTAGTATTGCTGGATCATATGGTAGCTCTATTTTTAGTTTTTTGAGGAACCTCCAAACTGTTCTCCATAATGGTTGTACTAATAATTTACATTCCCACCAACCATGTAAGAGGGTCCCCTTTTTGCCGCATCCTCTCCTGCATTTGTTATTGCCTGTCTTTTGGATAAAAGCCATTTTAACTGGAGTGAGATGATATCTCATTGAAGTTGTGATTTGCATTTCTCTGATGATCAGTGATGTTGAGCACCTTTTCATATACCTGTTTGCCATTTGTATGTCTGATTTTTGAGAAATGTCTATTCAAATCTTTTGCCCATTTTAAAATCAGATTATTAGTTTTTTTCCCTATTGAGTTGTTTGAGCTCCTTATACATTCTGGTTATTAATCCCTTGTTACATGGGTAGTTTGCAAATATTTTCTCCCATTCTGTGGGTTGTCTCTTCACTTGGTTGATCGTTTCCTTTGCTGTGCAGAAGCTTTTTAACTAAAGTGATTCCCTTTGTCCATTTTTGCTTCTGTTGTCTATGTTTGTAGGGTATTACTCAAGAAATTTTTGCCCAGACCAACGTCCTGGAGAGTTTCCCCAATGTATTCTTGTAGTAGTTTTCTTAGTTTGGGGTCTGTAAGTATTTAATCCATTTTTATTTCATTTTTGTATATGGTGAAAGATGGGAATCTAGTTTCATCCTTCTGCACACAGATATCAGTTTCCCAGAACTCTTTATTGAAGAGACTGTCTTTTCCCTCAGGGTATGTTCTTGACACCTTTGTGGAAAATGAGTTCACTGATAAATGTATTTTTATAGGTTATATATTGTGTGTGTATGTATATAAAATTCATTGCTGTTCTATAACATAATTTTTAATTTAACATTCTATCTAAAAATAGAAGTATATACCTCATTACTTTCAATGGCTGAAGAGTATTCCTTTATTTAACTGACCCCCTATGGATGAACATATAGGTTATTTCCAGCCTTTGTTCCTATTATAAACCACAAAGCTTTGACAAGCACTCTTATGCATACATCTTTGTGTATACATGCCTAAAAGCAGACTTGTTGGGTCAAAGGATGTGTGTAATTCATATTTTGGTACATAATGCCTAACTCCCCTGTGGCCAGACAGGGCTGATTTACTCCCACCAAGAATCTATGTGCCCATTTCCCTCCAACACTGAAGATTCTTTTTTTAAATTTTTGTCAACATGCTAGGTTAACATAGTTTTTTTAAAATTTCATTTATTTGATAACAAGTGAGGTTGACTATCTTTCTTATGCTTATTGGTCATTTGTATTTTTTCTTTTAGTGTGTTACCCATTCATGCCCTTAGTCATTTTCCTCTTGGATGGATAATCCCCAAATTATCAAGAGTCATTGAAAGCTAACCTTCCCTGAGGAAGGGAAAAGAACTGATAAGAGACCTATACATTCAGTCTATAATACTACTATGAATCTTCTTTTGTGAAATTAAGCTGATTCCTTATTTACCGTTGTTTAGCTGTTTCCAACAGACTCTATATGAAGACATCTATATGAAGTACCCTTATATT